TCCTCACTCAAAGCGCCGTTGTAGAATAGTCATCGGAAGGGAACCTGGAGGTCATTTAGCCCGACCCCGGCCCGCTGCTGCCGGTCTCTTCTCGAGGTCCCCCCCTCCCCCTCCTCCTCAGGAGGGCTGTTCAGCGGAAAAGCTGGGTCAGAGCAAAGACCCAGAGCTGGGCCTCCAAGAGGGGCCAGCACTGTAAGGCCACCGCTTGAGACGTCCTTGAGATAGACTGCCCCTGCTCTAGGAGTGTAACTTAGCACCATGGCTGGCGGCTGTGAATTCTTCCCCCTCCTGTATCATCTTGTATACCTTTCTTGTGGGTTCATTGCAGGCGGTGTGATGTTGCGTGGTTCCTCTGCGTCTTTCGCTGCTCCGCTCTGCTCTCTGAGCGGGTGCAGTATTTTGAGCAACAGATCCTTTTCCTTACTCGCGTTCGAAGCCTCAGTGATGAACACCTCCGGTCGTGCCCGCTGTTTGGTGCCCGGAGTTCTGGGGGGGCTTCAGCTCAGAAGGAGGCTGCAGAGGAATTGCCCCCTCCTTTGAAGATGATCAGGCCGACAGCTGAGAGTCCTCCCAAGAGACGCGACACCCCCCAGCATGCCCTGGGCTGCCCCGTGCACGGATTCTGCGCCCTTGGCACCCTCTGAAGGAAAGCTGGTCCTAATACTCCCTCAGGAGAGGCCCAGGCAACTGCCCCCGTACCACATCCAGGTCCAGATGCAGAAACCAACTCTGCCACCAGTCACCGCTGCACGCCTGCAGACATGGCCCGCGCACCCTTTCGAGAACAGCTGTCGGAACAGAAGCACCGGCCAAAGAGAGAGAACTGGGCAGGAGGAGGAGACGGAGGCGCCATCTCGAGACTCTCGGTTTCCCAACTCCAATCAGAACCGCATTAGAGGGACCCCAGATGCCGGAGGGCCCAAAAACAGGGCTGGCTTTCAGGCCGAGTCAGCGACACCACTTTCCTCTCTTGGAGTCAGGATCACGGCTCAGATAAATGGACAGAGGAGAGGATGCCCCCCCGGCTGGTTCTGACAAAGGGAACCTACACATTCAAGAGCAGTCTAGCTTGGAGCACAGATTGACAGGGAGAAATAACATCTTGGAAGCCTCACCCAGACATACATGACTTCCTCGCAGGAGCTGGGCAGGGAGCCGGACGAGGCCCAAAGAGAGTTGCTTCCCCCCCCCAGCCCTGGAAGCCGGAAGGACCCCACCATGGCTGAATCAATCCACAAGGGACATCCCAGGCCCTGAAGCCGGCTTGATTGGTTCCACCTCTTTGTTCCTTGGGCTCTCTTCTCGGATCCTGGCTGACGGAGATCTCGGAAAGTGGCTCCATGTGGATTTCTGACATTTGTCAGGGGGGCAAAACCACCTTGGGCTATGTTTAACTGTGGCTCAGCCAGTCCAGCCCCCCTGGGCTAGAATCCAGGATTTAGGCTTCTGCATCATGGTGGCTTGTTCGACACGCCCGACGGAAGGCAAGGGAAGCTTGGCACGTCTGACACGGAGCCATAAACCCAGCATGCCAACGGCACAGTTGTGTTCCCAGCTGAGCCACAAACGCATAATCCCGTCACACCCTTTCTGCTGCTGCCCCAGAGGCCTGGCCCTCTGGCTCAGGCGAGGGGCCTGACCCTTTTGGAGGGGCCCTGCTCTGCTTTCCCTGGAAGCCCCTTCTGAGGCTGGTCTCCCCGATCTTTCTGGGAATGGAAGGGGCGCAGGGCAGGGTTGAGGATTCCCCAAACTCTCCGGCCCCGGGCACTCGCTGTCTGCAAAGCCAGGGAAAGACCACCTCCATGTCAAACTTGGTCTGGCCTGGCAGGGCCCCAAGGACGGGCCAGGGGCTGGCTCACCTCGTCCGCTTCCCCCTCCCCTGCTCTCGCCCTTCCCTCTTCACCTCCCCTCCTCGCTTGGCCCTGTCCTCGAAGAGTCACCTTTCCCGCCTGGCTCCAGGTTAATGATTTCTCAGCCTAACCCTGCCCATCTGCTGGGCTCCCAGGACCTGCTGGGGGAAGCAGCGGGCAGGGGGCTGCCGGGCCACCCTGGCTGGGCTCCAAGTGCCCCACGGGAGCAGGAGATCCTCAGCGGTCCTCCCCCGCCAGAGTCGGCTGTTGAAAGAGCGCCCTTTGGGGAAGGGGCAGGGTGTGCTTGCAGGAGGACGTTGGGCCCTTGATTCTGTCCCCGACGTCTCCCCCTTGGGCTCAGGGCGTGCAGGGAGCGCCCGGGTCCCCCCCAGCACGTTCTCAGAGCCCCCAGCCCGGGGCTGTGTCCCTGGGATCCGGCACTTCCGGTGGAAAACCCCCGAAACAGCAGCCAGAAAGCTGGAAGCTGCAAACGCCCCTGCTGGGTTTCCTTGTGGCGTGAAGGGCACTTGGCCGGCTGACCGCCCCCTTCCTGGGGGGGCAGGCTTGGCTGGCCACGTCCCTTTCTTATCTCACCAAGGATCTCCCGAAATCTGCTTTGCCTTCCTCATCAGCTGGCCAGGCTTTGAATGAGTGTATTAAGGGGGGGGCGGGAACAGGCACCCGTATTACCATGAAAGGCTATGAAAAAGAGACCGGAGGGCCTTCGGAGCTTTGCTGCTAAAACCAGAGGTATCACCAAGAAAGATGGTCAGCCGGCCCAGAGGATATCCCTTCTGCTCCGCCTCTTCGCGGCCCCGGACGCAAGAAGTCTCGGGTGTCCGAGAGGCACTCTGCTGATGCTCGGAGGCAGTATCGCCTTCAAATGTGCGTTCACTCCCTCTGGAGATGAGCATCTTACAGCCTGGCGGGAGGTGGTGGGTGCTGAGGGCCCCAGCTTGGTTGATGCCCCGAGGAAGAGGCTTCGTTGCATGTCAGCCCTGCCACACCAGGACAGGGTTGGTCAGTGGTGGCTGGATCGCTCCTGGCACCAAGACTCGAACCTTGTCCTTTTGCACACAAAGTGGGGGGCCTCGTCTCTGAGCAACTGGTCTTTCTCCAAGCTGAGATAAGGTTCTAGTCCCCCTGGCCCCAGATAAAGGCCAACTTGAGTAAGGAAACTGCCTTGTCCTGTCAGCCCAACAAGCCCTCGCATTGCCAGCGCTGATTGGCAGCGTCCCTTCTGGGTGCCACAGGGCTCTCCCTACCCCCCTTGTCCTCCGAGCAGCTGCGGCTTCGCGGGGGGAGAGGAGCTGGGGACCCAAGGCTAAACTCCGTCCTTGGGCCGCCGGAAGTGGCGACGTGTCCCCTGGCTCGGACGGGTGGCATAAAAGGGGCTGAAGCTAGGCCCTCTCCCCCAGACGGTCGCTCTGCCATCAGCATGTGGAAACTCCTGGTCGCTTTCCTGCTGGCTGCCGAGGGTAAAGGGGCGGGGAGGGGGCACGGGTTGTGGCCTCGTTGGACTCCTGGAAATGCCAGAGAATGAGGGCCCCAGGAGTTTGGTGGCCTGGCCCCGGGCGGTCCTTGGAGGCGTGAGGGGCTTCTCAGCTAAAGCAGGCATGGGGAGGGGGGGGACAGAAGACACACCAGGTGCCTTTGCACATCTTCAGGGGTTGAATTAGCCTGTTTCCTGGGTTTGTCCAGGACGTGGAACCGCCAAGGGGCTGGGGATTGGCCACCCGCAGACCTTTAACTGACTGTGGCAAGCCTCTTGTACGTGTTTGACTAGTACCTCATCAAGGGTGTGCGTGTGCAGACAGACACACACACACACACACACACATAGCAGAGTTAGCGGCCGGAGAAACAGGCCCGACTTGGAAAGACAACTCCGCCTGACTTGGTGTGATTTTCCCTCCTGCTCAGCCCACGGCTGCGGACAGCCCACGTATCCCCCCGTCCGGACAGGGAGGGTGGTCAATGGAGAAGTCGCCATCCCTTACAGCTGGCCCTGGCAGGTAAATGGGGCAGCCTCGTCCCCCCCACTGGAAAGGGCAGAGCTGGGTGAAGACGAAATCACCCATCCTGGCGACAGATCGTGAACCGACAACACAGCGTGTTCCGGAGGGGGAGAGGGAAGTGCGCGCACTCGTGTCTGGTGGGGGTGCAAACGTGAAACCAGCCCACCCCTGTGTCTCCGGCAGGTTTCCCTGCAATACCAGGCTGGCAGCCTGTTCTACCACACCTGCGGGGGGAGCCTCATCCACCCCAGCTGGGTGATGACTGCAGGCCACTGCATCTTGTGAGTGCCCCCGGGGCCCTTGCGCTGGGGCTAGGGTTGGGGTGGGGCAGTGGGCGCAGGGCAGGGAGAGGAGAGGAGTCCCCCGCCTACTCAGCCCGGCTCATCCTGGGGGAGGGAGGTGCCCCGCCCCACGGAGCCCCCGGGTTTCAGCCCCCTCCCTACTGGAGCGCAGAAACAGCCCCAATCCCCCCGCC